ATTTGCTAGTAATGTCAATAACTACAATACTAGAATCGCTTTATCAAAATGCAATTGAATTTTTCAGTATTCTACAAACAAAATTTTCAAAGCAAAATACATTTTGTTGTTCTCAATTTATTGGGTTGTTACATAAGTTCGTTCAGTTTTGTAGGGTAGAATAAAACTATTTTATATATTCTATTTTCTAAAGAAATTGACAATTATTCGATAAAGTTTGCAATTTTTTTGGGCACATGACAGGCCCAAAGAGAAGAAAATTTTTCATTTTTTTCAGCTTGTAGTTTTTTCTGTAAAAATTACCAAACTCACATAAACTCGAAAAATATAGTAAGAGAGTAGAAATTTCAAGCTTTAAAATCCTTTTTTTTTTTAAATTTAAATTTCGTTCATTTTTAGCGAAAATATCGTATATACAATTTTAAGCTAACCAAACAAACTTATGTAACAATCCAATACATATAGCTATAATAATAATAATAATAAGGTTTATACCTTTAAACAGATAGTTTTACTTATTATGTTAAACAGTTAAACATATAAATTGTACAATCATACCTATAAAATAATAATTATTGACTATGCGTTATAACTAAACGCTATCCATCATTCGTGAGTGTAAAAAATGCATGGATGACCATTATCTGCTGAATTGCCGGTTATCTTGTCTACGTTTGCCTACTTGGCGGAAGGTCTTGGCGCGCTTCACCTGTTTTTCCGAACTTGGATCATTTATATTTTTGAAATGTCCATAACCACCTCCACCGAGCCTTTTTCGTGGTCGTGAAGCCTTACTGATTCCTACTTCTATAATGTACAATGAAAAAGTTAAATTAAAAAAAATGATGTTTAACACGATATAAACTGTTTCATTAATAATATTTATACTGCTTACAAATTTCTACACACGATTTAGTTTTTTAAACAGTTTTGATAAATTAACGCTTATAAAAAAATAAAGAAATATCAAATTGATTTTGATCAAATATAGGTACTAAAAACAAAAAATATTTAAAAAACTAAATTGTTTCGTTTTTATGAATTATTAACAGTTTCTAATAAGAAATTAAAACTTGAAGACATTAAACTTACAAAAAAAAGTACTTGCGCTTAGTGTTAAAACTATTACTTACTCAAGTCTACCGCTGGCGGTACAACAAATCCGAACGATTTGGCGACTTTTGCCAAATCCAAGGTCTCTATATCGAAAACATGTTTCAAATGATGAGAATCATACGCTCTAACATAATTCTTAAATGCCTCTTTTGCTGACTGATGTAAGAAATAATTCTTCGAAATCAACTTTTCAAGCTAAAAAAAAAAGATAGTATTTTATATCATCTCTAGAACATGCAGATATATTTGTTAAATTAGTGGAATTGGTGTAGTTTCAATTTCTCTAATAGAACATATGAGATATAATACCAATTTTCAAATTTTTTAAATTCTGTCCAAAGGTCTTAAACTAAGGTCTACATAGAAAATAATTTAAAAAACAAACTAGAAAAAAATTATAATATATTGCTTACTTGCAATTGTATATCAGCGATTTTATTCCAAGAAAATTCATATTCGTTCACAGGTACACGGGCTATCTTAAGATAACGAAGAAAGCCAAGTTCTTCTGGTCGCAATATCAGCAAAGCGTGACCGCTGCTGCCTTCTCCACGAGCAGTTCGACCTACGCGATGGATATATTCCTAAAAATCACACAATTACATATTACAAATCCGTTTAATTGCTAATAATACTTTAATATCTAAGTTTATCATTGGAAATTACTATCAATGATAATCTGCAAGATAAAATATTGTATCAATCCTTACCTTGGGATCGTCCGGTGGATCAAACTGTACGATCCAATCAACATCCGGTATATCTAGACCTCTTGCGGCCACATCAGTGCAAAGTAAAATCCCGGTAGAAGCGTTGCAAAATTGATAAAAGGTTGTAGTTCTTTTCGTTTGTTTTTGTTTACCCTGTCAATGAGGGTGCGAATATTAAGTTAGAAAAGAATCTTGTTATCAATATAGAAAACAGTACAGAAAAAGATCTTATAACTTACATGAATACTCATTACTGGCAAATCGATATAATTCAAGAGTTCATGATGATATTTAACGGACATGCAGGAACTAAAGAAAACCATTATTTTCTTTTGTTTGTTCTTCTTTAAGAAAGTGAATAGAAGTAAAAATCTTTTCTCGCTCGGACACGTTACATATCCTTGTTGTAAACCCTCCACAGTCGCCATTTCTTTGTCGTCGTCGACTCCCACGTATATAGGTTCTTTTTTGAGAGCTAACGTTGTTATCGTCGCTACTTTCTGTGTTTGTGTCGCACTGAAAAGCATAGTCTGTCGGCGCTCTGCAACAATAATTCATACAGTAACAGGAAAAAATATATATGGCTAATTTGATTCCAATATTGAAGTCAAATTATATATATGTAGGATATTACTAACTGGGAAGAATGTTAATGATTTGCTTCAACTCCTCTTCGTAACCGATATCTAAAATACGGTCGGCCTCGTCTATAATCAAACACTGGAGATTTTTGTATAAGAAATCAGGTGTGTTTTGCAAATGATCTAATAATCGTCCTGGCGTTGCCACAATAATATTGATTCCCTTTTCAAGTTTTTGTGCTTCAGTTTGCCTACTAGCACCGCCCATTAGTAGACCGTATGTGTGATAATGATATTTCATCAATTCTTTCAAGACTCCAAAAGTTTGCATAGCTAATTCTCTTGTGGGAGACATAATAATACATCCAGTACCTGCAAATATCTATTTATTATATCTCATTCTTATTAATTTTATATAATTAGAACATTAAAATGAAAGTTTTATTGTATTACTGATTTCTAAATTTATTTTTATATTATTCAAAGATAAGAAAGTAATATTACAATATATAATATATAGTCATAAAAAATGATTACTAAATAAATATTTCATTTTATATTGGACTAAATCTATAAGGGTTATTCATAAAACAAAAAATTTTTCAAAATGTCATTCTGGTACAAATTATAGCCATCGAGATTATATTACCGTTACGAGGCATAAACTTCAATTTGTAATAGCAGGAATCAAAAACGCTAAAGTTTTGCCAGATCCAGTTTTAGCAGCACCAACCAAATCTCTTCCTTCCAAAAGAGAAGGAATAGCTTTTGCTTGTATTTCTGTCATATTTGTAAAACCCATATCCTTTATTGCTTTTAATGTATTCTCACATACTTTTTCATTTAATACTGAGAAGCTTGTATCATTTGTCACTTCAAAACCTACAGCTGTGCCAGGTACTAAACAAAATATATACCAATATTATTAGCATACAAATATCATTCGACAATTAGTTATACTAGAAATACATACAATTTTCAGTAACCAAAGATTTCTCTATTACATCAGACTTTTCATTTTCTTCAGATGCTTCTAACTTTCTTTTTTCTAAAAAAGTTTTTATTAATAATTATATAATAAAATAAAAAACAAGAATAATAATCAATAAGACATAGTTATCATTAGCTTATCACAAGGGAAGTTTTACAACTGTCTGGAACTGATTTGATTCTCCATGAAATATGTTAAAATTTTCATACATATTTTTTTATGCCCTAAATCATGTTTAAGGAGTGAAACATCCCTTTGAAAAAAACAGTATTTTTCTTTTGAGGCGAATATTGTCGTAAGTATAAGATGGAAAAAAATTTAATTTTTTTGTTTAACAATTGTTAAACAACGAAATACTCTTGAAATGGTACTTTTGTTTAAAAAATTTTTTTCTATCTTTCATACTTCCATGATATGTGCCTTGAAAGAAAAATACCGTTTTTTTTCAAAGGGGTATTTCATCCCATAAACATGAGTTAGGGTATGTATATAAAAATACGTCTCTTAGATTTTCATGTTTAACAATATATTTCATGGAGAATCAAATCAGTTATGAAACTTCCCTTGTCAGTAAAACAGATTGTAAAATATTAATATAATTTATATAATAAAAAATGTCAGTTGTTAAAATAAATTAAAATAAGTTATTACTTTCTAGAGAAATGTCTTCTACGTAGTCCTGGTCTGTTTCAGTTGCTTTCACTGATTCATCTGCATCTGTGTAAGGAACAAGCCTTATTTAAAATAAATAACAGAGGATCAAAACAAAAAATAAAAATCCATTGGCTTTAATAATTGACAATTATATATATATGTATATTCTATTTTCTGAATAATTAAGATCGTACACGTTTTAGAAAGATAATTATATCGGCCTATCTTTTTCCATGAGATCTAACCTCGAAATTTGCATGCTCTTACCTTTCTGTTCTTCCCGGCGTTTCAGCACATTTAATTTCGTCTTTTCCCGTTTTTTAATTTTTCGCATCAATATTTTTTCGGGCACGGACATTTTCTCGAGTTGTGGAATATATCGTGGCTATATTAAAAATCGTAGACGCAAAGTTACACTATCCTCGTGATAAACCACATGTGGTGAAAGTGTATACACTTGAAGGCCTTGAAGTTAAATCAAGGTACATTTTCACGAGTCGCTCCAATCGGCCGTTTCAGCAACAAAAAGGATCATGTGATCAAAATTGACGAATATTGCTGGATTCACACTGCATCCGAATTTCGTCGA